GACCCTGCTAAAGAGTCAGTCCCCTTGTTTCTTACAGTCCCTTTTAGATACTGAAAGGCCACTATCAGGTCACCTCAGAGTCCTCTCTTCTCCAGACTGAACAGACCCAGCTCTCTCAGCCCATCCTCGCAGGAGAGGTATTTCATCCCTTGGATCATTTTGGTGTCCCTCTTTTGGACATCCCCTATCAGGTCTCTCCTGTCCTGAGGATGCCATATGTGGATGCAGTACTCCAGGTGAGGTCTCACCAGCACAGAAGGGCAGAATCACCTCCCTTGATCTTCTGATCATGCTCCTTCTGATGCAGCCCAGGATACAGTTGGCCTTCTGGGCTGCGAGGGCACATTGCTGGCTCATGTCCAGCTGCCCATTCACTAGTACTCCCAAATCCTTTTTGGAAGGGCTATGCTTAATCCTTTTATGTCTCAGCTTGTATGGATAGTGGGGGCTGCCATGACCAGGTACAAGACTCTCCATTTGCATTTGTTGGATCTAATGAAGCTCTCTTGGGTCCATCACTCAAGTCTGTCTTGGTCTTTCTGGATGGGATCACCTCCCTCAGGCATATCAACCACACCCCCAAACTTGGTGTCATCTCAAAACCTGTTGAGAGTGCACCCAATCCCACCATCAATGTCACTGATGAAAATATTAAGGGGCACTGGTTCTAGCACCAACCCCTGAGAGGCACCACCCTTCACTGATTTCCATCTGGACACTGACCACTGCTCTCTGGGTGCAAACTTGTAAGCAGTTCCTCATCCACTGAGCAGTCCATTCATCAAATCTATCTTTCCAATTTAGAAAAAAGGATGTTATGGGGGACTGTGTAAAAGGCCTTACTGAAGTCCCAGAAGTGGCTCCTCCCTTGACCTCTGACACAGTTATGCCACCACAGAAGGCCATAAGTTGGTCAGCAGGAATTCTTCTTGGTGGTGCTATGCTGACGATATCATCTCCCTCTCTTCCATGCGCCTTAACTTCCAGAATGATCTGCTCTGTGTTCTCCGACACAGAAATAAAGCTAACAGTTGGGAGCTCCCGGGCCATCCTTTCCACTCTTCTTAAATATGGGTATGATGGTGCTTTTTTTTCCAGTTACCAGGGACTACTTCTGACTGCTATGACTTTTCCAACATAATTAAGAGAGGGTTGGCGTCTGCATCAGCCAATTCCCTCAGGATTCTGTGCTGCATCTCATCAGGACCCAGTGACTTAGGGATGATCAGGTCCCTCGGGTGGTTACAAACTTGATGTTCACTTACACTGGGAGGGACATTGCTCCTCCAGTTCCCACCTTCCAAACCTGCTCGAAGTGGGAGGTGCATTTCAACAGTAGTGACAGTGGGTCACCTCCACTGGTGCAGATTTTTACAAGTGTGGCATACAGGCTCCTATTCATTGCTGGTGAAAAAGCACATCTAATGCTGGTGACAATGTTTAAAACTAGTCTTTTGTAGCTAGAATTTGTTCTACTAAATAGTGCTCTTGTGCTCTTTGTTGTAGTTTCTATTGAAATAAACAGGAGGCATTACTTTTTCAGCCTTTTCTTCTCCAAGCTGAACAATCTCAGCTCTAACAGCCTCTCCTCATCCTCAGAAGTAGATAAAAAACTTGAAATACCTGCACTCTCATGGAGAACACATTAGCCTCCAAATACGTGAGCAGTTTCAAGATCAAGAAACAGTGCTGACAAGCTTGACAGATTATAGCTACCTTTTTACAGTCAGAATTCTGATTACAGCTACCTCTGTGTTTCCTGACAATCTTATTTCTGCTCCTTTTCTAATAATTTTAAAGTAAATGTGGCTGATCCTCTCCTTACTTGGTCATAACCACCTTCCCATCTATCAGGGAAGGTTTTGCAGATTACTCCCACTTCATGTTAAAATATCTGCACATCACTGTAATTTTATCTGTTACTTTTCTGAGACATACAGCACAAATAGGAAACATGCCAGTTCTGTAAATGGTATGCATGACTTACAAAAGTTAACAGCACTCTTCTACCCACGCTGAACTTTGTTTCACCTGGCCCAATTTTCACCAGTCTTTGTCACCTGCTGAGCACAATGAAAACCCTATTTATGATACTCCAGAAGACACCATCAAAACCAGGTTAAAAGAGATTCTATCTGTAGTACTACTGCTAGTCTGACCATGCCATCCCTTCTACACCACTTTTTGACTACAATTTTCTCTGTATTAATAGCATCAGAACACCATCCGTTTCATTCCTCAATATTTTAACCCCATCACTATCTCTTTGCTGCAGATATTCAAATTCTGAAAGCTTTCATGTGAAATCATGTTTTAATGCGTCTCATAGCCCATAACATGGAACAACACTTCCTCAAATTTCCAAGGCAGATATAACACATACTGGTACACATTCTACATTAGCAAATCTGTAAAAATAGAGCAAACAACTACAGTAGTCAAGAGGCAACATCAAAGTAGCCCATGAAAGAACCTGAGGCAATCTTGAGATCAGTGTTCTCACCATCATGGCTCCACTGAGCTCCCCAAATCAGAATTTCTAAACCTAACCCACGTGCTTTTGCATCACTACAGATTCTCTTACAGTAGTGATACTTAATCTAATTTAGCTAAGGCCTCTCCTTAAGAAACCAGTCCTTTTCTTGACATTATCACTAAAAATCTTTCAAATCTTTCAAAAACAAAAACCTAAATATGCCACTTATCCTCATTTTCTCTTAAGAAAAGAGTACTCCAATTATTTTAATGTTTGAAACTTCCACAGTGCCATGAAAATAACTGACTGCTTAATAATCATTTTTGCATGTGTGTAATTAATATTTTTCAAGAATGCTTACATCTCAACCTTTAGAAAAGCAAAAAAAATTCTATTTACACACAGGTAAATAGCACCACAAGTAAGCACTGCTTTCAGATACTTCATACAGCAAGAAATAATTTCCAAAATGCAAATAACTTATGCAGATTTTTGTCATTTATAAATTTATAATGCAAATTGAAGCGTTATCTATATTTTATGCATGGATATAACACACATACCAACAGGCTAACATTTTACTACCAACTAACAACTGCATTAGGTGAAGCATTAATGTCAAAGAGCAGTTCTATATTTGAATATGTCAAACTCCTCAAATTTTACATTAAAAAAAATCTTCAATCAAGGCCTATAAACCTGAAATAATAATTACAACGGAAGATAATGAATATACTTAACAACAAATGGAAGAGTGAAGAAACTTCCAGAGTGAATCCACAGCTCTGAGATACCATTACAAAACATGCAAACAACAAACTGGAATAACAAATTAGGTAAATCATGCCAGTGGTTATTCTTGGTAATAAGACTGTTCTCATAAAAAAACAGTGACGTTAAATGAGGTAGTGTCTTCAAGATTTCCTTCCCCTCAGAAACAAACAAACAAAAAAAGACACAAAAGAAGGGGTGCAGGAAAAATTCTGCCTGGCAGCAAGCAATCACAGCAGATGCTGTTTTTCTTTCTCTCAAACCTTTCCTCAGAACATCCTTCTCTTCTCCCCTCATTCTATTTCAAGGCTTCTGAATTGTATTAATTCATTTCTTCCTCTCAAATTATTGCCTATCCTTAGGACTTCTCTACAGGTAAAAAGTAATGTATAAAGCAAGCATATAAATTACACAAATATATACACATGTAGACAGAAAAATAACCATAATTCTGACTTCGCTAATGGTTACCTGACACACTTCCTGTGTTTCAAATAAAGCAGTCAATGAAGGAATCAGTACACACTACATAATATGTAATTGTTTGCCTGTCTCTTGATGAAGTGCACAGAGAATAAGAAGAAATTGAAGATTATCTATGCCTAACTATTGGAGAAAGCTCCAAATTCCATAAAGACAATCACAGCTGTCAGATTTAACAGCTGCCTGCAAAAGCTCACCTGGGATTTCAGGCAGAAGCTACTCTCAGAAGAAAACACGCTATAATGCTTTTTAATACAATATTTTTCACCAGGGTTTCATTTGTTTTCCTTAAAAAAGCACAATTCAGTTCACTCAGCTTTAATTTTAAAAGCAAACATTAGCTGCAATTCCTTTATTTGTCTGAAAGAATATGCTAAAATCATGTTAACACAAGAACATTTGAATACGATAACAGCATGAGTATAAATTATTGCAGCATTCCTCCAGCAAGGATATAACAATAAATAAATAAGCCTCTAACTGATAAAAATTGTCAGTGAACTTTAGTGCAACATTCTGAAACAATATGGGCCAATTTTGTTCAGGAAAAGAAATTAGTGTCCACTGCTATTTCTTCTACAGGTATTTCAGGGAGAGAAAAAAAAAAAATCTGACGATCAGCAGGAAATCATTTCTCTATTGTGCTTTAAGACATACCCGTAAGACCACAGTCTGTATATTCACTTTCTTATCCCTCTTTCAAACAAAAGGCTCTTCAATTAAATGAAATGAAAAGGACAGTAGAAACTTCCTATTTGGGAAATGTGTCAATGCTGAACCTCCTTTGCTACCGGGCCTGAATAATCGAATAACTGAATAATAAAATTCTGATACAAAACGAAAACAAACAAACAAACAAAAAAAAGCAATTAAAAGCATCTTAAATACAAAAACCTGTAAGCAGTCCCAAAAGACAAATCAGACCCAAACAACTTGAACCAAAGAAATTGATTTCTTAGAGGCCTCACAAGAGCTTTCTCAAATATCCTTGGATTTGTCAACTCTAAACTTCTCAAATTGAACCATTACAACCTATTTCTTTTGAACTCACATGAGCTCTACTTATTAGCCTCGTTCTTTAAAACAGAAGAGTACATTACTGCAATGTTCTTTATATCACAGACCTCCCATTTCATTGCTTTTCTTAGCTGAGAATGCTGTCTTGGCTTTTGAGTAAAGTTAATCACTGTGAAGCAATTGCACCCCAACTGCTTGTTTTAGTCAGCTGAAACACACAGATAAATAAGCTTCTAGAAAAATTAAAACTTGCCATGACTTCGGCTCCCCAAAATGGAGATAATTAATGCTGTAGAGATCCATATCTTCAGTGTGCCATGCAAATGTTGTTTTCCACATGCCAAAATACAGGTATGGGGTATTCACACCCTCAATAGAAATTCCACAGTCTTCTCCTACAACATCCAATATTGTATTAAGATGAGCAATATTCCATTCCTCAATACCCTGAAAAAGATACATAAGAGGTGTATTATTAAATCAATAAAATGATGGAACTTTATATAATAGTATTTCACAAAAGATACATGCCTTTCAAAAGACTGTAGATAAGCAAAAATTAATAAATACTCCATCAGACTCTTAAAGTTACCCCAAAAACTTGTTTTGTCCTTAGCAGAATTTAGATCAGGTGTTAAGCGTGACATGTTTACAGCAGAGAACACAGATAGATAGATATATGTGAGCTTAAAATTTAATATTTCAAACTTTACACATATTGAAATACTGTACACAACAGAAATAACAGCTGCAGACAAAAATCTATGAGTATCTATGAGCTATGTGTCACTAGGCATATCTTTCCTTTTTACATACAAAATAATATTAAAAAATTAAAATGCTTTTAAATTATTTTCCTATGTGAGTTTACCACTTTTCTGAAAAAGCCATAAAAAAATGAAACAATCATTTCAGAGATATTTCTTTCTATAACCATAACGAGCTGCATGACACAGCATTAGAGAAGAAATCCACTAATTTCATGGGATTTCAGACATTTTCCTCCCATTGTTGCCTAAAGTTTGGGTGTTAAAAGCCACACATGTAGTTTTCGTTGTATTTCACATTCACAAAACATGATTCCAATTTCAGGTAATACAGCGTGTAGAAGTCAGTGTGACAAAGCTACAAAATTGAAGAGAAAGAGATCAAACTTCACTGTAACAGCAACCGTTAGCTCCTCGAAGGAAGGCTTCCGAATTGCCTTCTTGAGACTCCGCATGTGACTGCCTGCAACGATGACCTCATTAAGAAGAAAGGCTACCCTTATGTCACCCTTATGTCACCTGGGGGTCTTAGAAAGGAGTTATTTCTACAGAATGAGTTCATTCCGGATAACAAATTGATTTATTTATAACGAAAGCTTCTGCTCTCATGCACTTATGTGACATAGAGGCGCTTGAAATAAAAACATGTAAAAATATATTCATGATAAGAACTATCAAAGAGAATTAAATGCAAATGTGTATTCAAGTCCTAGATGTAGGTAAAATTTCTACCTTTCAAATCTAAAAATCAGTCGCAAGACAATAGAGCTGTCAGATACAAAGTTTATTCGCAGAAACAATTTTAACTAATTATTCTTCAAGTTAATTTACTTTTTTGATTGGAAAAAAACTCACGAAATTAACTGCTGTTCACAGATTATGTACGGTCAGTTTGGAGAAACAAACTAATATGGCAAAATAAAAGCAATGACTTAACCACGGAGGTACACTGGAACATCATAAACACACCAGATAAAAAAAGCAACTGTTGATCTAGGTAGTATCTGCCTTCTGACAGAGGGCAAAAACAAACAAGAATCAGAATACCCTTCCAGCCTCCAGCAATTTGCAGATTAAAGGTTTCACCAGAGAGGTGCTATTCATCTGCTCAACAGGACCCAGTGGGCTTTCTACCACTTAAAATTTATCTGTCCAGTCACCATCTGTAATATACAAATAAACTTTTTCCACTCATAACATCTAGACATCTTACCCTCCTTTTACTAAGAACTAGTTAGAACTAAGTGATAGCTAATAGACAAAATTAAGAATAAACTGTCTTTTTATTTCACATACTTTCATCCTCAATTAAGTCACAACCAAACACCAAGCAAACAGTTAGTGCTTTGTCCCTGAAAGGAAAGCAAATCCTCCTATGGAGAAAAAGGTTGCTTAACACACCTAACACAACACACAAGATCCAAAACCCCTATAATAAAGATGCATAACCTATTTTCATTTCCTAATAGCCATTCTGGACAAACTACAGAAACTACAGGTTTTGAGGAAAAGTTCTCTGAAACTGGTTTAAATTCCAAGATCACTGTGGTTCATTTTAATTATTTCTACATTCCTTAACTATTTTACGCTTAGGTTAATGCAAGTTATTACTACAAATTATTATCAAATCTATTACTTTACCTCATAGATGTAGCTTTTTCTAGTATTCCAAAACACTACGCAAAATGATTACATGAATTCCACTTAAAATATTGACTCAGTTCTTTTGCCATAGTTATGAGGCTGTTTCTAGACATCAGAATTGCAATGCAGAACAAAAAGAGCATAGGACCTGTAGTTCGGCAAGTCAACATATAATCGTACTTCAAAAAGTTAAAGTATACCCTAGAAGGGTATATTATATTTAATAACCATTATTAGATGAATGCCATTCAAATTCTTTGACCCAGAAGTGAAGCTTCTTACACACAAAAGAAAAAAAAAAGGAACATTTAGGCATACTCTACTCAATGTAAGGAAAGGATCGAATATTCATTCTGTACTATATCTCAATAGTGTTTTATAATAACTGTAAGTAAAGTGTAAAGAACGTATTTCTAGCATCCACACTTTCAATGGCAGATTTTTGAATACATGCAATCTGTATTCTTCTGAACCACTGTGCCTCTTCTATACAGTACCATGCTCTGTGGTACAGTTTGTACCATACAATTCGACACTGGGGTAGGGGGGGAAGGGAAGTTAAAAAAGAGCGTGTTTTCCTCTGTTTGCTACAACAAAGACATACAGATGTGAAACAACTTCTTTGTCTTTGCCATAGCACATTAGACTTATGATGCATTTCTTCAGAGAAACAGTACAAGTTATAGGCAGCAGGTTATGAAAAAAAGCTAATACTCCAATCTTTGCTAACTTTTTAGATGATTCAGACTATCTGTAAATTACAGTCATGAGTTTTTATGGTTCTTTTAATAGCATTTGAACCAACTTGTAAGGCAGTATGCAGATAAAAGGGAACGCCTCACAAGCAGCTCTCATAAATACCTAAACACAGCTCAAAAGGAGCTGACCCATTCTGTTCTCAAGGACAAAAAAAAGAAGTGGCTTCCAGTACCCTGGTAAAAAACCTGAAATTAGGGAGTTTTTTTTCATAATGAGGATCTCTATGCAGAAAAGAATAGGGCTTCAAACAAAATCATTTTCTATTCATTTTCCATTTTTAAAGTAATTGGGATAATGACACCGCACCTTTCTTTCCTCTTTCTTGATACACTTCAGTCTGAGATATTCTATCAGTGTGGTTTCTGTACATATATACGCTAATAAACAAAACCATTTTTCAGTGTTTAATTTCTCCCTTGATTATTACATGGATTCCCTTCAATATTAATATGGCAAACAATACATTTCTTGTACAACTAGGATTAAAATGTCTCCATGACTGACTGTAAAAGCTCACATAATAGGAGTTTTTTTAAAAAAAAAAGATTTAAAGAGTGAAGGAGAGTAGGAGAACCATGCAGAAAAATCTGTGCTTGGTCACCCACTCCTCAGTCCACGCACTCACCCACTCACAGTCATGAATATACTAAAAAGCCTGCCATGTTTTTACTGCTTCTTGAAGGTGCATAAGAATGAAATAGGAAAATGCTATGATTAGAATTTTTGCACAATAAACACGTATTCAATCTATTTTTTCTCCTCTCAGTAACTTTTCAGATGTGACTCTTACTTTTGCCGCACATTTTTTAAGGGTGGAAAAAATAAGTCAGTAGATTCTCTGTGGAAATAGGTACTAAAACCAAATATGTAAGTGAATGAACACTCATATTGATCTCAACTGTGAGATCATACACAGAAAGGACATTTCAAGTTACCACATGCTAAAACACACAGAAATTGCTACATTTAAAAAATACTGATTTGCAATGAGGCTTCTTGACGTCAATGCCGAGTGCACATACACAATCCTACTCAGAGATAAGAGTTCAGCTTATATGACCACATGATAGAAACATTTAGGCAAAATCAGGTCTGTGGCTTTCAGGCAGACTGAGGAAGAAAATCAGGCACATTTCATGCTCAGCCACATTCATTCTCAGTCTCTACCATTTCTTGTAAACACCCTTTTTTTTTTCAAAATAACATAAACTGTGACCACTGAGAACTACAGCCGTTACCACCCATTACCAGAAGTTCATTCTAAATTTCATTCCTGTGGTTTTGTATGTAATTCTTATACACTGTTCTCCTGTATTCTTATTGTCACAGTAACAGTCAATGTTCCTGTAGTTCTTGCTTTCTTATTAAGCCACCCAGTAGCTTCCACTGCCCACTGCTATAAAGAATGCAATATAAGACACACAAAGTAGTCAGTTCACAAAAGAATCTGTAAGACTGTCTTGACATGCATGGAGAATCCAGTCCCTGTAGGCAACTTCAGTGGCATGCATGTAAACAAGTGCTTGCTTCCTGACATTCAGATGGAAGCTCCTGCATGTCAGTTTGCACCTGCTGCCTCCAGAACTGGTATCACTGAACAGTCTAGCCCCATCTTCTTTGCACTCCCCCTTCAGCTATTTGTATATACAAAGAGCTATCTCTTTTCCAGAATGAACAGTTTCAGCTCTTTCAGCATATGTTCCAGTCCCTTCATCTGTGCTCCTTTTTGGACTCTTGTACACTTGTACTCTTTTCTCTTTCTGTGGAGTCTAGAATGGACATAGTACTCATCATCATAAAATCATAGAATCATAGAATCACCAAGGTTGGAAGAGACATACAACTCATCCAGTCCAACTGTCCACCTATCACCAGTAGTTCTTCCTAAAAGGTGAGTTGCTTCACCTGCTGAGAGCAGAGAGGAAGGACCGTCTCCCTTCAGAAACCTGCAGCCATCGCTCCTCCTTAACAGTATGCTGAGGATACCATTCACCTTTTCTGTGACAAGACTATGTTGTTGGTTCACATTCAACCAGATTCACTGGAGCTCCCCATGGCCTTCTCTGACACACTGCTTTCCAGTTGCTTAGCCTCCAAGACATATTCGATATGACTGGGGTAGTTATTTCCCAGGCCTTATTGCCCAGATCATTCACTGGATCTAGTACTGACTCTCAGGTATAACTATCCCTTAGCATAACAACCACTAGCTATTGGCCCCCAACAAGGCCCACTGATCTCACCAAAACTGGCCAATCAGCCAATTTTGAAATGCTT